GGTATAATGTCTCTGTGATACCATGACATTGTCTATCGTCTCTGTGATACCATGACATGGTCTACCGTCTCTGTGATACCATGACATGGTCTACCGTCGCTGCGATATCATGACATGGTCTACCGTCTCTGTGATACCATGACGTGGTCTACCGTCTCTGTGATACCATGACATGGTCTACCGTCTCTGTGATACCATGACGAGAACTACCGTCTCTGTGATACCATGACGAGAACTACCGTCTCTGTGATACCATGACGTGGTCTACCGTCTCTGTGATACCATGACATGGTCTACCGTCTCTGTGATACCATGACGTGGTCTGCCGTCTCTGTGATACCATGAAGTGGTCTACTGTCTGATGCAATACCATGAAGTGGTCTAGTGGTCTAGCTCGTGTCTCTGTGATACCACAAAGTGGTCTACCATCTTTTTAGCGCATTTTCTCCTTTATGGAAAAAAGGCGCTATTGTGTTAGTTATGTCCGTCCGTCTGTCCGTCCGCCTGTCTGTCTGTCTCTGACTTCTCGCTTTAGTCGATGTAATGTTTCTATTGGTTCAAGTTCAAACGGACGAGTTTATTTATTCATTGACGGTAACTTCCAATGGGTGAATGTCATTAGGCTGGATCCAAGTTCCAAGTTTATTAAAGTAGAACAGTAGACAGCAGAACAGAGTAGAGGAGGGAAGTTCTCCAAGAGCAAGAACACAAGCGGCTGTCTTCAGTAAGAATCAACGAATGCTCAAGCCGTAAGACAAGTCCTTCTAGTACTTTGGTCCATGTTGCCAGAACATCTGATACAAAATTCTTCAAACTGAAATTCATTGCATATACCTTCCCCCCTTAAATCTATAATTTAATTTGAACAAATTTATACAAAATTAATTCCAAGCCCTCGCTTCTTCCTCACCATCAGGCAAATGAACACTCCTTGAAAACAAATCTGCCAAAAAGTTCTCCGTGCCCCTGATGTATTCAATAAAATCATACCCCTGAAGACACAAAGCCCACCTCATCAATCTAGAATTTTTGTCCTTATTTTGTCGCAGCCATTGCAGAGGTGCATGATCGGTACGGATAATGAATTTCTTGCCGTAAAGATACTGATAGCAATAATTGACACACCATTTGATAGCTAAACATTCCTGCTCTATGACAGAGTAATTCTGTTCAGCCTTATTGAGTTTACGGCTCATGAATGCTATTGGCCTAAACTTCCCATCAATTTCCTGTCCCAGAACTCCTGCAATACCTATCTTGCTTGCATCAGTCTGAAGAATGAACGTCAAATCAGGCCTAGGTATCGCTAATGCCACGTCCGCGGTCAACAATTCAACGGCTTCTCTAAAGCACTGAGTTGATTCGCTGGTCCACTGCAATACATCGAGCTCTGACTTGCACAACATTTTCGTTAACCCAGCAATATGGTGCGACAGATGCGGTAAAAAGCGCCTATAGAAATTCAAAAGGCCCAAAAATGATCC